CTGCGCCAAAAGAATTATGACTGACTAACAGGACAATTCTCAGCAGTTAATGTATAAGTTTAGGCTCAATTCCTTCCTTCGAATTCGCATCTGTAGATCACTGTTTTGCGAGAAGACAATGGCTCGACCCGGCGTTACAAAACATAGCAGGGAATCATCACACTAGCTGACGGACAAAACAACCACAAGGACTAGAAGTATTTATTCAGATAAACACATTTCGGAAAAAAAAGACCTTGAAAATAAGAAATTTGATTAATATTGAGTCATTTAGCCGAAATAAGAACCTTAACGCTCAAAAAAATTGGCTAAAGAAAACGAATCCTGTCAGAATTACAGACTGAAGGTAGTAGTTAATCATTATGCATGTAACAGACCAGCTTCATGGCCTCTTAATGTGAGACAAACAAACAAAATTAAGATTAACATAGTCAGAGTTTAAAATTCTCCACCGTATAATCTACCCGCTAGAAAGAAAACATAAAGAAAATCTCTGAGGGATGAAAACGGTTAAGTCACGTTTCACTAGCTTATGATTGTGTTTGGCCTGTCAACAACGAATTTCCTGCTGTTTGATGAAGTACAATAGCAGTGTCATTTCGTCGTTGTGGTTGGCTCTTCCCACCGTCGGCGCACGAAGTCTTCCCTGGGAACCGTTCTAATTATAAATCTACTCGGGAAAGGGTTGACTCCAAGGGCTTGTATGGGAGATGGAGGCTCCATTTGATGGGCTCCTGCTCAGGTACACGATCTGCCATTTTTCAATACATGCCGGACGGATATGTCTTACTGACACTCGTAGTCTGTTAATTCGAATATTCGCCATTCTAATGAAGATTAATTGACAGTTGTCAAACTAGAGTATACGCTGACCATCATTACCTGAGTGTATCGTGGGCTCATTTTTCTATCCATTGAGGTCACGTAGTGTTTAAAGTTTTGCGCTGATGTTTTATTTGACCACGGGCTCAATTCGAAGCCCCATAGCTTAGAAAATCTATCCATCCTAGAAAAATCGGCATTCACGTGATCGTACACCGACCACCCGACCTTTTGTCCGTCCGCACCACAGGCATACCAATATTTAATCTCACACTTTCTAGCTAGTTTGGGAGCCTGCAACCTGATATTGTACATCCATGTTTTGATTAATTGACAGCTGTCAAAATAGTGTTTCTGCTGAGCAGTATAGCCTGACCGTATCGCGGGCTCAGGTATTGACCCATTGAATTCGAGTGTTTTTTTGAAGGTATCCGCTGACAAGTTGCCACTTTTCAAATGATCGCAGGCTCAAGTTCAATTTTTTTAAAATGCATATGAAATAAGTCGTGTTCATGAGCCGCACTTTTAAAATGTTGATTTCGAAATGACCTTGGAGGCGAAAATTCAACCGGCTTTTACATTTACATGCTAGGAAGGCAATCGCTTTTGACTTTTCTCAATGTCACGCGTTGATCACGCTCTACGTCCAATTTTTATGTTCTGATTGGTCAAAATTTGACAGGTGAGTTCATGCGGAAAATTTATGCAGCGTGTGGAAACTTGCTTACAGATAGGTGGAGCTGACAGAGTTTTGTGTTATCTTGTGATGTTTTAAGCTGTCTTTTTCTACTTGGTGATTTTGGTGTACAAAATGAAATACAGCTGCTATCAATATTGTTCTGTAATTCATGGCTGGTTTGTTTATTGCTCTTTTTGTTGACAAATGCACCGCTTGTCAAAATCATTGGAAATCCGATTTCGGATGGCATCGTTTTCAAAAATGAGCTTACTCACTTGTCCTCGCTTGAGGCATAAGAGTGTTGAAAAGTCTCAAGCGATTCTGGAACAATAGATGACCTTCACAAGCAGCATCTCGACTGGTAAGCCTGAGCAATTATTGTCTTTGATGCGTTTTTTGTTTCGGTTTCCTTAAGTCGAGCGTATGGTTTATGCGGCTTAAGTTTATACACGAGCAATGATCTAACTTACAATAGTATCAGGTTTTTAAAAAAAGCCTTTAGACATTTTTTGACCGCAAATTCAAAGAAAAGGTTCCGAATATTATTTAGTTATGATTTTGGCTGTAAACAGAAAGCTCTGAGCGATTTTCTTGCCTCGACTTCATCTTGAAAAAGAGCAAACACCGGGAAGCCCGCTTAAAACATAAATAAGCTTATGCTTACCTGACTCATAATTTTCAGAGACACTTTACACTCAATACTTCTCCTCGTGAATGAAAATTATTGTCTCTGTACATGAATCACCGAATTATATTTATTTTATTCATTGTTAGTAGTCTCAATCGCAATTTTTATCGATACACCGGTTGTTTCCAGTCGAACATAAACATCGCATGCAGGAATACTCAAAACGCCGCTCGTAAATATCACTCGCTTTTAAAGATTACACATAAAATAACCATACACAGTTTAATAAATAAAGGGAATTAAGACCTAAACATAACAATTTCTCTATCATGTTGAAGCGTAAATGGTAACTCTGTTAATCGCACTGCAAATGTTGTGCCTGTCAAAAGTGAGAACCCGTCCGGCTAAACGAAAAGTGATTTTGAGAATTTTTTTTTATCATTTTCATTAAAAGCCCATAATTATTACCCTGCATATCACATAGGACCAGATTTTTCTAACTGAAAAGTCCCGGCATCATAGAATTCTCTTCATGATAACGTTTTATAATTCAATGCTGTAATTTGTTGTGCAAAGGAATGCCGTGCCTTGATCGTCGTGGACTGATTGAATGAGGGCAAATTCTCTTGCAAAATTGTGAAAAACTGCAGAATTATAGGTTTAAAGAGGGCAAAAAAGAACAAATTCTGTCCAAGGTCTGTATGATTACTAGTAAAAAAGGGCCCCATAGTACTGTTTACCTGAGACGTGATGAAAAAAAACTTGTCGAACACAAAAAATCTGGCCTGATTTTTTATTTTGGCCTCTCTTTTAGACAGAGGAATGCAACGTGTAAATTGGCTGCCACCAAGGACTATCGTGGCGCGTGTGTTTCTTAAAATTATATTTCGCGGTTGACCAATTATCCATAGTCTCTCCAACGGAGCAATGTTGGAGAGACTACAAATACAATACACGAATAGGTCTATTTGTTTTTCAGGCCTAATCTACTGTGATCGAACATGATTGCTATTTTTGGACGTACACTTACGACTATTTAATAACTCGAAGTAAAACTTGTTTCACTCTTGGACTGATAAATTATTTTTCTCTAAAATCACTTATCCTTTGCCTCAAAAGTCAAACGAATGTGCCCTGATCTGTGGACTACAAGTTTATTGTTTTATTTATATTATGAATTTATTAACGGGAGCTTCGCTTTTAGCCCTGGCTAAATCTATATATTACTCCGTGGTAGAGTGGTTAGGCTACGAACTATGGATTCTACGCCCCGGGATAGGTTCTCAATCTTGCCACATCGAATTTTTCTTCTTTTCAAAATTTGCCACTGAAATTTTTTCCTTAAAAATGGAACAGTGGTTGAAGAGACTTACACTTTCATGGAAATTTCTTGATCAGAAATTTTAAGTATGATCAGAAATTTTAAGATACTTAGAAATTTCATATCAATTTCAAGTAGAGACTTGATCCCGTATGTCAAGCAAATACACGTCGGTGTACGGGTCCTGTACAAATAGCCACTGTGTCAATATAATGAAGCAACTGCATGTTGTTAATAACAGTGATCTTCTCATACCGTAAAACTCCGAAAATAAGCCCCTCCAAACTCGTAACGCAAAAAACCCTCCGTTAAATCGCCCCTCCAAATATAAGGCCCCCGGGGGGGGCTTGTACTTGTTAATTGCCCTCAAATACAAAGGAAAACAAAGCAAAAACTTTAAATTTCCTTCCAACTATAAGGCTAGCCCAATCGATTTTGAAACGCAAATTTTCCTCCGTAGATAAGCCCCTCCGAATATAAGCCCTTCAAAAGATAAGCCCCTCAAAAAGGGCCTTTGAAAAATATGAGCCCCGGGGCTTATTTTGGGAATTTTACAGTATTTTAAATGCAACAGTGATTTTAAAAGATAAATGGCAGACAGCCCTACTAAAAAATAATTTTCTATGTTTATTTTTTTTTTAACAGGATCATTTAATGTTCAGCACACAAAACATTCCTCTCTATAGTTAGCAATAAAATATCTTACACTGGGACTTTCAGCGTCGGTGAACAATACTTTTGCATTGTCTGTGTAATTTAAACTAAACGCACTATTTTTCTTTTAGAAAGCTTCCAAATGTTTCCTAGTGTTCTATCCAATAAAAAGTGCAGACTTGAACATGTAGTTAACAAGTTGATGAGTTGCTTGATTACTGAATTTCTATGGATTTTCTCATACAAACTGCATGATATTCTATCGAACTCCATGGACACGTTATGGCATTCCATGGAACTCCATCGGCACTTCAGGGAAACCCATGGCATTCCATGGAATTCCATGGACTTCCATCAATACTTCATGGAACTCCGCGGAACTCCATGGCATTCCATGGAACTCCATGGATACTCCATGGATACTCCATGGAAGTTCCATGGAATTCCATGGATTTCCATGGATTTCCATGAAATTCCATGGATTTCCATAGATTTCCATTCCATGGAGGTATTTCACACGGGAAAGGCCTAAGCATCCCTGCCATACTACTATAATGCTTCTGTATAAATGTAAAAAGTAAATCTAATAGGAGAACATTATCATCCAATTTAACCATGTTTCCGTGTCGTTTGAATAGATCAGCTTGAAGGCCAGGCAGAAACCTGATTTGACGGCCGCATCCCACCCTGGGTGAAACACCATATATTGTACAGTGAAATAGAACTTGCCCGATTTTGTCACGGCTCAGTAACTTTGTGTCACAGAAGAGTTTGCCCTTATTCCCGTTCGACACGAATCAACCAATAAACACTATTCCTAGATTTCAGTCAAGTAATAAAAAAGCAAGACATTCACAAAAACTCTCAAGATTCCCCCCAAAATGGCTAAAATATTGTTTCGATACTACTGGCATTCCTGTATAAATATCAGCAAAATAAATCAAATTAGTGAGCATTACCATCTTAGAGCCATTCTTATCCCGATACGATCTCCATTGTTCCGTGTCGTTAGAATACCACAGCGTGAAGGTAGCAACCTGGTATAATGGCCTCGTCCCACCCTGGGTGGCAACACCACAAATTTCAAATGTTTCCCCCAGGTCAAGTTGAAGCCACCCAACCCACGAGTCGTTCCTTGAACACCAGCCATGCCCATCGGTTAGGTTAAGTCGACCATATCTAGCCCTTGAGTAATTGCTCTCTTCTGAATGGCTAAACATCTGTGTATCAAGAAAGACGTTTCTATCGGCAACACCAATACCATCGTTGAAGCAAATAGTCGCTGAGTGAAGAAAATATAATAATTTAGGCTTTATGCTTTACCGGATCACTCTCGCGCCAGCACAAAACTGGCAATACATCTGATAGGGTTGTCCACGCATAAAATGGTAATTTGAGAGACGTTTCTGTAACAGAGCTTAAGTCTGCGCCACGCCGATCTTAAAAGTAGATCGTCATAAAAACGGATAGGTTTCTGTGCTACTACTCGTGGCAGTGTGATCAAAGGCTCGCACCAGTCCGGTCTGTCTTTCATGTTGACATAACAACTTTCCGTAGTAATTAACGATAGAATACGAAAAATGATCAACCAAGTAAATATTGGACGACAGCACCAGGTTCTAGATTAACCTGCAATAGAATTCGTGCTGGCTCCCTTGGAAACTCCAGCTTAAGACAAGGACTAATTACTTTCTTATACCTTTTGTACGTGCATTATCATTCAGTTGAACTTCAAGAAACAGCTGATTTATGGAAACTAAGTGTCTGACGGTGTGAAATATCTAAACAAATCATTCCCGTTGATGAATTATACCTATGGGAGATTTATTTATTTACTTATCACTGCGTCAAAAAAGTGTTATTGCTACAAATTATGATACTTTTTAAAGGTTTAATTTGTTTATCCATTCTAGTGCCATATTGAATCACCCTTTACAGCCCTATAGCCTCACCTGATGAATTTTCTGGGGCGACTGTGGAATTTTCTCCTGGTGAACCTGTGGAAATAATATACAAAACGGGCCCCAATAAGGAGAGAGTCAAGATATTGATATTTGTACCAAGACCAATTACTTCAAGGCACACCGTGGTGTCGCTCAGAGACTACCTTGTGACATGTCATTAATTAGATCAAGGCAGTTGTTTGTGGGATAAAAGGAGTTGCATGTTTAGAACAATCCCTCCTTAAACTCCTAGCAGTCTTGCGAACATCAGCTAGAGCGTTAGATCTCGAAATTCTTTAGCCAGGTTTAAAAGACAAGCGTTTTGGGTATGGCATCGTTGATTTTTATAACAAGAGGCTAATTCAGTTGCTTATAAGAGTGAGTACATCAGGAAAGGGTATGCGTTGAAAAAATCCCTCAAAGGACTGAAGTACAAGAAACAGAAAAAACAAAAGTGAATGTTTTGCAAAGTTTATGAAGAGAATCAGAAGAGGCTTGAAAAATATACTACTTAAGTTTATTGTTTGTGTAAGTTATGAGTCTGATTTACAACTAAATTATACAAGGTAAAATTGATTTTTTATCAACCATCAAAAAGTTATTGTTGGGCTTGAGCCCTATCCTCTCAGCAGTTCTTTCTACGATATTACCCTTGGCTTATTTGGCCTAGATGGGTATGTGCTGCTGATTTAGGGTGGTGACCATTTCACCCTTTAGAGTTTTGAACAAGGCGTCTGTTTGGGTTGTGAAGGTTGAAGAAGAACTCACTGTGGTCTATAGAGTACAGTCTATTGGTACCACCTTTTTCCCCCCAAGTTTCGCCATGTTTCTAAGTTTAAAAGCTACCTTAATTCTGAATGCTAAAGGAAATGAATCAGGATTATAATGTCTCTTGGCTTAAAAAGGGTAGGGAAATGCACAATGTGTCCTACTACCCATACTCTCTTTCAGTGTAAGCCCAGGGAGGTGATCTCACATTTTAATTCCCTTTACCACTCATTGTAACAGCAAAGTCAGTGAAGGCTTATGGTCTCTGAAAAATATTTTTGCCAGCCTCAACACAAGTTTCTAACTGTTATTGTTGACTGCAACTACTATTATCTTAATAATCATTTTACATTTTTTTCGAAGGCATCCTATAGTGTTTTCAATATCCACTAGTACAAGGCAATTTTTAAGTTGAGAGGGTTTACTCTGATTTCATTAACAGTAAACTACATTTTTACACAGACACAAACTAACCTGGTAGGTTGATGTCCAAATGTGTAAAACATTACATGCAACTATATGGCAAAAACTGATCACAGAGGCCAAAGGAAAGGCAAAAATAGAAATGTCATCATTTTTTTTAATTTGATAAATTCCCTTTGAAGCATATTTAGCCAGATGTAGTCCTTGTCAAAACATGCAAACTTGAACAATTATTTTCTGACCCTAGCTAATCTTTTTTAAACCATACTCTTGTTCCAGTGGGTAGTGTAGTTTTTGGAATAAAATATTTCTAATTTCTCCCTCTTTGTTTGCAACAAAACAAAACACAATTGAATGAAGACTCAAACTGAGGGCAGTGTAGTAACTGCTGTCATGAAAAGAGAATTCCAAACACACAAAATAATTACCCTTTCATTTGCCTATATTTATTTCTTAAAAACTACGGTAAAGTTTAAATTAAACCACACGAAGATAACAACTTATTAAAGCATATCAAGAGTGAATTATCTCTTGGCAAAAATTATTTAGCTTCTATTACATAACAAACTACATGAACTACGAGATTTGACCATATGACACTCAATCATCCAACGCAACTCTGCCAGGATAAGTTCACAATCAAGGATGAAGAATTAAGAACCTCAATCTTGTACGAAACCGTAAACAACTCTGACAACTCTTCTATTTGACCACGGCCACCGCGCTTTTTTTAATGTCACGAAGGATTAATTTTCGGCCTTTCACTTGAAAATATAAACTCTTCTACATACGCATTGGAGGGTTGGCCCTTTTTCTATTCTTGTGGGTCTTCTAAACAGAAACACAGCTTGAAAGCCAGCAGTGAGCCAAAAGGTCGGGCATCGACGAACATGTACATGTACAATGAATGTTCACTGGTCTCGTTCTTAGCGCAGTAAACCGCATGTAAAATGACAAACGCAAGACCAGAAGAAAGGAAAACGTAAGACCCACATTACTGCGGAAAAAAATCGGTTACAGCAAAGAAAGCAATGACCAACAGGACCAAAAGCGACTTCACTTCACACCGTCGAATCTCCGCGAAGACGAACTTTTGATGTTGTTGTTGTTCTCAGCCCGTTTCGCGCATGCTCGCCACAGTTCTCGAATGATTGACAGATTTCTTAACTGGGGCGATCATGGAAAGCCGAAAAGTGGCAAGATCAAAGGCCGTTGCCAGCCCCCCCTGGTTTCCGTAATCAATCGAGAATAATCGATTGCTAACGATTTTTATCGATTTCGACTGTTATCTATGGGCTACTCCGGGATGTAACTACACCCGGAACCACACCGACGTTATTTTGATATAGGGCGGCTGGTCTAAATCGTGAAAACTGGGCGCCTACAAACCAGAAGAAGATTTAAACCTGGTTTTGAAAAAAAGATAGATTTTTCAGATTTTTTTTAAAAGTGATAATTGTTTGATCCTTTGACTGCAACTCAGTTGTCAACAAATTTACTGTTGGCATGAAATCAGTTTTCATTTTTGGATGAACAGATATAGCTTCCGATATAAATCGATGAAATCGGTAAAAACCAAAGAGTGTATCATCGATTTCTATCGATTGATCGATACAGTCGGTATCAATCAAAGCGGATTTACCGATTTTTATCGATTTATCGATTGATATACCGATTTGTATTGATTCTACGGGCACTTATTTATCTAAGCGAGGAATCCATCCGGAATATGCGAAGACGTCAATAGACACTTCGAAGATGTAAAACGTTACAACGTGGCTTGCATAAACAATTTTGCGCTTTTTACTAGCTTTGTTACTAAAAATAGGGAGTGAGCAGGTTTACTTACTCCCTTTTCTCTTATAATGCCTTAGCAAAAGGGTTACGATACATCCAAAATTTCGTCTAATTAACAGTTCGGGTGTATCTCGAATATTGAATATCTCAAAAAAGAGATTTAAAAATCTCATTTTTCCCTAAAAATCTGACTTTTAACGAAAAATCCTAAACGTTTAACTCACAAATATCATGAGGTTGAAATATCCTTATAAGGTCAGTAAAAACACGTAAAAGTTCTTGTGGACAGCGCTGTTTAGCACGGGCATTATAACTAGCGTCTTTTTTCCGTGACGTCTGTGGAAATCAATAATTGTGGGATCTAAATAGAATTGAGTGGTAAAACCTGTGCCTGAAATAAGCCATGAGGCCTATTTGCTCGGTCACTGATTCATACTACTAATAGTTTAATAAATGAATGTGTTCTTCGCAATTAACGCCAGCAGAAATATTATTTATCTAATTTCAATCTCTTTTTTTACCAATTTTAATGATTTGTTCACCTCTAAGAGTTCTAAAATTCTTAAAACTTGCATGCTTAATTAATAATTCACCGTAATATCTCCAGCCTTTCATAAAATCTTCTTAACGTCTAAAAAATCTCAAAAGAAACCCGGAGTTTTGTAGCTAAGCCTAGTCACATCTGATGTCCGCCTTCTTCAAAGCGGTTGAACTGATGATAATTAATTTAGAGGTTTTTACGTCGATTTCAGAAGTGCCCATTAAAAAAAACACACACACACACATGTCAATTTTGTCATATAAACGAGCAAATGACAGGCCAAAAGTTTTGGCACCAGTGCCCACTGGGGTACCGCGCCCAAAACACTTTTCGAGTAAACCGGGCTCCTTCCACCACCCCGGCTGCCTCTTTCCAGTCTTTTCAGTTCTTGTGTTCACTTTGAATCAACTTCAGGCTTGTTTTCACTAGCGAAGGAGTCGGAGTCGGAGTTGGAGTCGGAGTCATGATCAGAAGTGTAGATCTTATGATCTAGTGAAAACAGTGTTCCGATTCCGCTTATGACTCCGTCGCTTACGTAACGTTCATGGTCTAGTGAAAACCAGATGGTAGGAGTCGAAAGCAGAAGCAGAAAAACCAAACCAATCACAGAGCGTGGGAACGTGCAATGTGATTGGTTTATCCTTCCGCTTCTGCTTCCGACTCCGACAATCTGGTTTTCACCAGATCATAAGCGTAATGTAAGGACGAGGTCGGAAGAAACGTTGTTATTCTTCTGACTCCGATTCCGTCGCGCTCATAACTCCGCTAACGACTCCTATTTTTGATTTTCATTGGGTCATAAGCCCTCTTTCGACTCCGCTTAAGAATTCAACTCCAACTAGTGGAAACCAGCCTTTAGCGGGCGTATTATCTGTCCCCACCTTTGACGAATGTATTCTTATGAAGTGCTTACCGTCACATGGGCACGCTAGCTCCTTTTAGACATTTCTATTAAAAGTTACTTGTGTAGAAAATTATGCCAGCATCGTTGTACCGTGATTTTTTTATTCGAAAAGCAGAGCTTGCTACAGACACGCAACACATATTTTATTCTCTCTTGAATTTAGTTGGACGCGCAATAAAGTATTTTTTCTATCTTTAAAGAAGTTTATTTCCTTCATATGCTTTATAATCTGATTAATGGGTTTGATCATTTTGGTGTAATATTGAATACACTTAACCTGAAGAACTTGATCTTGCAGTTGTGGAGGTTCCTGTTGAGACAAAATTAGCAGAATCATTTCTTTTCTTTTCAGCTTTTTAAATATGTTTCGAACGTTTTTAATAATTCTGTTGCAATGTTGCATTAAGCTCTAAAAATACTTCTTAATGAATCACCTGAAGAAGTAGCGGTTGGGAAATTCCACTTGAGGAACCTTTGTCAAATATAAAACTATATATTTTCACAATAGAGAACTATTCTCTCTTAATTGTTTTATCTACAAAATATATACTTTTTGATGCAGTTTTTAAAACGATGAAGAAAGGTTTTTTTGTCATTCGGTTTCAATGTTAAAAAGCGTGGACAATCTTACACCTCACCTGAGGAACTTGCCGGGGCGGCTGTGGAAGTTTCTGTTGAGAAACCGATGAACGTTAGTATATTCACTTCTTTCTAACTTACTAGGTACTCTAAGTTTGACATTTTTTTTGTAATTTTTGAAAAGGTTCCATTTGCCCTTTTTATTCAGATCAATGTTCAAAAACTTAAATCTTAATCTAAAATCCCAGAAACTCACTTGAAGAACTTCCTGGGGAGCTTGTGGAAGACCCTGTTGAGGAATCTGTGAAAGATAAATATATTCACTTCTATCTACCTTTAAGGATGTACTTGTGATATAGTTGATAATCAAGTAAAGGTTTCGTTCTTTATGCTCCAATAATTTTTGATAACTGACGTGGCTAGAGCCAGAGACAACAAGTAAAAATATCCCACGATAATACAAATTAAGCCGTTCAATAAGAGTTTATTTTTATAATTCCACTCGAGAGGTATAAAATAAACCTTACTATTATTCAATTCTCCGTTGCTGATTGGCTAAAATCTCACGGCTAATTCATCATAACCAGCCACTGTTGACCAAATTTGGAAGAAATTTACGAGATGCAAAAAATGACGTCAATTCCACAGCATAATTGCCAGAAAACTGGAAGAAAGGGTTCTATTTTTACTTTTTATCATTCGGATTCAATGTTAAAAAGCGTGGACAATCTTAAAGCTTCATTTGAGTATATTGCTGGAGCGCCTGTGGAAGTTTCTATTGAGAAACCGATGAACGTTACTGTATTCACTTCTTTCTATCTAAGAGAATTACTCTAAGTTTTACATTTTTTTTATATTTAAAAAGGTTCCTTTCGTCGTTTTTATTCAATGTTCAAAATCTTAAATCTTAATCTGAAATCTCAGAAACTCACTTGAAGAACTTCCTGGGGAGCTTGTGGAAGACCCTGTTGAGAAATCTGTGAAACATAGTATAGTTACTTATATCTGCCTTTAAGGATGTACTTGTCATATACCGTAAAATTCCGAAAAAAGTATAAGCCCCGGGGCTTATTTTTTTCAAAGGCCCTTTTTCAGGGCTTATTTTTGGAGGGGCTTATATTCGGTTCCGTTCTTTATGCTGCAATAATTTTTAATAACTGACATGGCTACGATAAAACAAACTAAACCGTTCAATAAGAGATTTACTATTGAACTCCAGGGGACTAACATAAACCTTACTTAATTGTTCATTTATCCGTTTCTGTTCATTTTCTTTTTTTATTCAGTGTTAAGAATCTCAAATCTAAATCTAAAATCTCGGAAACTCACCTGAAGAATTTGCTGGGGCCCCTGTTGAAGAACCTGCTGAGAAATCTGTGGAAAATATGTATATTTACTTAATATTTGTAAGTTAAAGGGGGACTGTATTACTTGTATTTGTTGATGATCAGTTAAAGGCTTGGTTTTCTACTGCAATGTCTTATACGTCTGTCTTATACTTACTTCACTTAATCTTAAAGGGGTATTTTTGATAACAGTTTGTTATTCGTTAAAACTAGTCCATGTATGCTAGATTACAAATGCCGATACTCTATGGTAAGGTTTTATTCATCCGAGTCAGTGCTTACTAAAGCCAGGACTCAGGTAAATAAAGCGAAAGCTCACTGAATTATTTCCAATTTGCATTATTGATGCATTTGATGATAGGCCGACTTGCAAGAAATAAATTCTAAAAGGTTTAATCTCTTATAATAAGTTTCTTAAGCCATAATGACATCACTGCTGTTGTTAAAGGTTATTTATATGCTAGCCAACTTGTTGATTTTATCAAACACCTTACGTTTTGAGTATTTTCGGCCTAATATATCTAGCCGGATTTTTGATAACGTTACCGCCAAATGGACCTTTTGCGTCTAACAGTTTTTTTTCGGCCAAAGTAGCCATTATAAAACCTAGGAGTGCAACCATTGTTTTTTTTTTTCTCTCTCTCTCTCTCTTCTCCTCCTTTCCTACTCCTCGCCCTTTCTTTTTCTCCGTTCTTTTTCCTTCGTTACTGTGATGTTGGAGCTTCTCAGGCTTAAGAAACATGCCTTTTGACGTCTTTTCACTCAAATAACTGCCAATTTCGTTAGGTTGGTTTTCAAAAAATCAGTTAGATGTACTTTGAAGGAAATTTGGATTCTGCCAATAAATTTAAAAAAAATATATGACGTTATAATGACGCCAGATGACGTCATTGTGTCAATCACGTTATACACAGAAATTTCTGAAGGCTCATTTTTTCGATCATGAGCCCCAAATTCGATGTCAAGCCCAACACCCAAGTGAAAAATACAGCCAAATACGCAAAATACAGTTGACGAGAAAGAGCATATTTCATAGGGGATATCATCTCACCGAGTGGTGTGAATAAGATAAGACTAATAAAACCCAAGCAAGCCTTAAATATGTCCATGCATCACCCTTTTTTATCAATGCTATTGTTGTTGTTGTTTCTTTTTAACATTTCCTTGCCATGGGGGGTCGCTTCACGGCTTCAACCTCAGGAGAGTTCGCCAACATTTCACAAAGCAAGCGAGTTGGAATAATCGCGATAAAGAATAATACAACGCCAATACACTTTTAAGCGACGATTTCACCGCTGTAGCCGTCGTGGTATCTTAAACTCTCTGACTTGAGGCATTAACGGGTGGTCAGAAAAAGTTACTTCCGGTCACAGCACTAGAACTTTCCGTAGTTTTTTGGCTGTAGTCCCTGTTACCATTATCATTTTTATCATCATTATCATTTTCACTAACACTATTACCATCGCTATCAATATCACTGTCACCGTCACTGTCAATATCAGATTATCATTAACATTATCACTATAATCATAAATATATACTCACCACTGACACAATATTTTTGATAACCATTATATGTTAACACACACCTCTGCCCATTGGGACAGTCTCCGTCCATACATGGGCTCGGTTCTACAACATTGAAAATTAAAAACTACAGTTAAAGAGGCTTATTTTAGCCATACCTCTGACAACTGTATTAACTTGAGCACCTGTTTGGAATAAGGTGTATGACAATCTCTGGAATTCATCTGATGCGAAGAAACGTTAACCCATTGACGCCCGAGACTTTTTACGGTTTCGAGTGATTTTTTTTTTGTGTGTGTGTGTTATATATAAACAATCCATAGGATTTCGTGACTCCCTATTTGAGGTTACCATGGAAAGTGGTACACAGCCATTTTTCACTTTTAATAGCTCCCTGCCTGATGAGCATCATTAAGCGTGACGGTAGCTAAGAGTCGTTTGCTCGTGGAAAAACGTCCGCTCCGAAACGAAGTAGCTTTAGGACTCGACTACTGATGACTCTGGCATATTTTGGAACTTGCGACCACTGAAGATCACAATAAGCGCGAAATTTCCGTGAGAGCTCGAATCTACTGTGGAATTGTTGAAAGAAGTGGGTGTGCGAATGCTAACAACAATTCTGGTCATTTCCCAGTATGCAATGCAGTCTAGCCTCCCACGCAGGAGTTCTAAGGGCTTTGTCACGTGCTTCTTGCCCAAGAAAGTCTGCTGAAATGAGAAGTCACTTTCCTTCTTTGGCATTGACTGATTATGACGCGAAAGCAAATCATTTACTGTAAGGGAAATCGACACTTGTAGATCACCCGTGTAATATTTTTTCGCGATAAGCCTCTCACCAAAATATTCATCAATATTAATTTGACTTTGTAGCCAGACCTAGTCGGGTGAGAAAACGCCTCGCGCATATGCTTACAATTTCAAATCAGCTGACTTTCATAGCTTCAAACTGCAGATTCTACAGAGCTCAGCTATTGCGAATAGCGTGTCTTGTAACTAGGGTGTTGATGCTTGCTTGTCTAACTGAAATCCACCTTTTGGGGCATCATTCAAGCTAAGAGTCAGGGACTCAAATACGCCACCTTGACAAGGAGGTTCGACATCATCTGAAAAGGAAAGAATCTGCTGGATGTGCCGCCAAGAGGCACAACAGGGCTTTTTACCTTACTGATAAAAATAGGACAATGGTTTCTGTTCGATGCGTTCGTATCTACGAACGGAAGTGGTTGCTTGTTTCAGCAGACGTTCGTGGGGAAGGAGCGTGACGAAGCCCTAAGAACGTTTGCAAAGAGCAGGGTGTCCAGCGACATGGTTGTTCAAAGAAATAGGAAAATAGGAAACTCAGGATTGAGAAAATAGCAAAAATAGGGAAATTTTTATTAAAAAAATAGGAGAAAAATAGGAAAATCAATGGTACTTTCGTCGACAAAGATAGCCTCCCTGCACCTCATTATAGGGTTATAATAAAGGCTACGAGTCCTCAGCTTCTACGTTCACAGACTTTAGATCAACTTTCAAGGCTTAGAAGGAGAGAAAATGATCAGTAACGTTTAGTTTATTGGCCCAGTTACTCTGTAATGCGAACGATTTGCTTGACTATAGATCAGGCGTGGTTCTATAATCAAAGGTGATCTTATGCCAACTAGTTCCCTTCAAGTGGACAGCCAATCTTTGAAAAGCTTCGAAGAGTGAAATTTCTTAGAATAGAAATTTCTTACGATTACGTTTGTCATTGAAGGATATCGAACAAGGACAGAAAAGTCCTATATGGAAAGCTTTCCCTCCATTAATCTGCAATGGGTAGCTGGTTGAGAATATGCTTGTTTGAGTCAAAAGACCACATAGTTTTAAGTACGGAACCAGGCTGCAAAATGACACTGATCTGTTTGGTACCAGATTTTAAGTGTGTCATAGTTACGTTCTAGGACGAATGTAAGTCTCTGCTTAGCTATGACTGCAAGACCGGTTTCGCAACAAAAATATTGGATCCTTCCTCAGTTGCTAGGGAAAAGGCTGTTAACAAGGGTCACCAAGAGAGGTAATGCCGTAAACTAAACTTGAGTCTGTTCTTTTCATGTAGCATCCACAATCCAGCTAGTGATTAGTTTTTTAAACAAGAAGCTGATTGATGATTTATCTGACCTGTGTTATCAGAGGACAACTAGATCGCGTTTTCAGTTTTAAAGATGAACATAAAAGCGAGCAAGACTTCAAAATAAAATATAACACGTACAGATACTGAAATGCAGTTTCAGTGGGCTATGCACAATATTATTCAATAGTCATGAGAGCTATATAACACTACATGCAATACATGAAAGTGCACTAGAAAATTATACAAAAAGGAACAATATAACCGAAAGTTGTTAACAAAACTCTAATAAGCAATAGAGGTCATGGAAAGAACAAATGTAACTATTATTTTTGCTAATAATTGAGCATCAAGGATAACATACTACTTCCTTTATGATAAATCTCTCTCTAAAACACATACAACTTTAATTTGATTTTCAATTTTGTTACAAATTTTGGCTTCACCAGTTAAAAAATAGGAAAAATAGGAGGTTTTAGTTTAAAAATAGGGGAGAATAGGAACAGGCTCAAAAAATAGGAAAAAATAAGAACTGGACTCCCTGGAAGAGGCTAAATGCAGTCGTGAAGTTGAAAATCGGGGCAAGGCCAGGATGCACTAAAACAAAGGCTGTAGCTAAGCCCAGGAAACGAATAAGAATAATAAAATCATTTTTAAGTTAGGAAAAGGACTGATTTTTACTCTTAATGCTGACCTTTGGTTTTGCAATGATGACCCTAGCAAAAATCCAGAAGGCAAAAAAGAAGTCTTTTTTGTCGTTTTCCTAACACGTTAAAAACGGTCATTTTTATTCTTGTCGAAATTCAAACGGTGACATTCTGCAGAAAGCGCTGACTTTTTTTTGCTTTTATTGGATATCTCAATTTGAAGGACATTCTACTCAATGCTCACAATTGATAGGTAAGGCAATGTTCGCACGATTGAGAAAGTTGCAAAGTTTAAAAGCAGTGGAGTTTTAACTCTTGTATGGCCGGTTTTGGCCGGCACGGCCGTCAATGGGTTTTCCAAACTTCATTTTTTCTTACTGTTGATAGTCTTGATTCCTCAACTACTCATAAAAATCTCTTAAGACTAAAAAAACAGGCATATGCATCAAGATTTGGGGGAGGTTGCTAGTTGCTGGCCAATATTTAGTTTAACGGTAAAAGTTGCATATAGGCCAACTTGAGGGGGTAGTGATTTTCAAAACTAGACAAGAGAGGTGGAGTTAGAACTACTAGTGACAGTCAATAGTCGAGGGTCAGTTCACCTAGTGTGATTAAGTATGATATTATGGCCTACCACGTGTCCTGGCTTACCGTAAACCTAGGACGTAACCCTAAGTTAAGCCTGATCCTGAGCTAAGTTACTCACCCCCCAAACGTTGTTTTAACGTTAGGATCTTAACCCCATCCCTTGGTTTGAACTACCACTAAGCAGCTGACGGGTGTCACAAGCCTTGGTCACGTGACCTCCATTTTTCTTTAAGTAAAAGCAAATGGCGTGATATAGCCCCTTTTCATACTTGTTGAAAACTGGGATCAATTCAGGTTTCTGGGGAACTGCCCACCTACCCTTCCCCTAAGCCATCATTTTGCCCCAAGTGAGAAGTAAGTGTTAATGTTAGCTTAGGGGAGGGGTAGGTGGGCAGTTTCTCAGAAACCTAATTTGATCCGAAAACTGTTATCCCGCCTTTTACGTTGAGATAAGCAGTACTTCTAGGTGCCCTAAGCTACTAAACAGGCGAGCCTTTGCTATTCTATCTCCCACTGCATTCCTGCGTTATCTCCCAGGGAGCTGGTCTGTGTATTTCATAATCATCAATACAAGCTTCAACGCCATGATTATGATCATTATTATGGTTATGATCATGATTATGATTTACAATTAATTGGTAAATGCTTACCTTTACCGTTCGTACAATAACGCCAATTAGGATCACAGTCGTTTTTTAGCCTTTGAAGGCGATACAGGTAAAATGAACCACAGTTTACGACTTGTATCGGAGATTTTCTGCTGTTGCACAAATTCGATGGATTTTGCACACACACTTTTCGGTTGACCACACCATCACTAGGTGCGGGATGGTTTTCTGTAAGGTAAGCTTGGGCTTGTCCACCGCATCTTTCTCTAAGCGGAGGATGCACTTGGAGGGCGTTCCCCGCTTTACCAGTTATTTTGTACCATTTTGACCAATCATCACCAATCTCAGAGTCTGTTAAGTCGCACTTATACGTGGAAGAAGTGTAATTGATTGTGCGATTCCCAGAGCTCAACTCTTTGATCTCGCTGCTGTCCTGGCAGGGATTGTTTCCTAACAGTGACATAAAGCACGAAGTTAGGGTATTTAGCGCTAGCCATGCATGTGGATCTTTACGGAGCATGCAATTCAGGAAGTCACGCAAGGTGACTCCACGAGATCTATCGAGCGCGAGCAAAAACACCTAGAAATCAGTATTGGACATGGATGCGGCCAATTTGGTGAAAATTTTCTGGTGGCCTTTAGGTTTTCTTCCATTTTGAATCCTTGGTAAATATCCTTTTCATAGATTTCACATGATTAACTGATAGTTTCTCTCATTTTTTAATTCTATAACTATTTTCTTTTTATGCCTGATTTTTAGATCTTTTTAGCTTTGGTCCTCTTTAATAAAATATATAACCTAAATAAAGAGGTCTTCCCCTTTACGAAAACATAAATCAATCAATCAATCAATCAAACTTAAGGTAAATTTCTTAAGGTAAATTTCACCGATCAAGGTTTTGGGAGAAGGAGAAACTCAGTTTCGAAGGCGTAACCTTGCAAAGGCGGGTTTTACTCACAATGTTCGGTCTGAAGAACAAAGCTTTTGTACTCAGTGCTTTGCGAAATGCTGCACAAATAATCACTAAAAGCTGGTGGTGAGACTATGTTCTCTTAATTAGAAATTAGGGCAAATTATGCATATTGACACTAAAAATAGAACCAATTTTACTACTATCATGTATAGCGTTTTTATGGTCGTGTCAACTTTTATCTAGCATGGATACCAACATTTGAGTATTTCCACGTGAAAAGAAAAAAAATAAGTAAAATAAAATAACAAACAAAAGGGAAAACCGATAAGGTCTCTTATTTACTGAATTATCCTTATGCGACCCGAGAAAAGTGATCCCGTTGAAATGAATAGCGTCGTAAATAAAGTCAAAACCAGTTAGTCTGGCTTAAGATAAGAAATATATATCTAGCCGGATTTTTGAAATAGACCTCTTACGCCAATCTAAGAGTATTCCTCGCTCTTTCCTTTTCACTCAAATAATTGCAAATTTCGTTGGGTTCGTTTTCATAAAAACGGGCAGATAAATACATTGTATAGCTATGGATAGATACCTCCTCCTCCACCTCCACCTCCACCTTTGCATTTGTAGGCGGGAATAAAACAGAGTAATGCCAATATAGACTGTTTGGAAGAAATAATCACCTCTGATTAACCAAGGGCATAGAGAAAAAGAAAACAAATTAAAGAGGAAATTTTACAGGCGCACCTGAAACGTGACCATGTTGGTTTCTACCTCATTTTAACGCGCGATGCTGTTAAGGAAGGTCGACGTTCAATAATTCATTAACTTTACAATAGTTCAGGGGTTACTATTAACGATATCCGTCAAAGTTATTGTTCCTATTATGTTGTCGGTGCTGTTAATAATTAATTGATTGGTAATATTCCCTCCTGATCCGTGACATTGGGTGGGATGTAATTTAGTTAGATTACAATCATTACTTGATCTTCTAAATTAAGGTCAATTTTATCTCACCAAAACAACAATGCCATTAGAATGATGTTTTTAGTCAGCACAGCGCTAATCTATTAAACACTAAGGGTTTGTTTTTAGAAACGGTAAACTACGACACTCTATAATCATGATAATTTAAATATTCTATACACGTTTCTTTTAAAAAGCTAAGGTATAACCTTTTTATGAAAAATCATGAGTGAAAGCAAATACACAAGCAAGACTATTCCAAATAAGAAAGTTATTTTTGTTTAGTTTTGTTGCCCCGATTTGTCAACTGTATTTCGTAATCTCATCTGGAAAGTTCTGGCTTATTTTTCCCAGCAAAGGTGCCGATGAAATAAAGTAAAATGAAGTTTGTATAACAAAAAAACAATTCGTGATAAATATTTAAAACGACACCAAATAAAAGAAAACAAAAGAAGAAACGTCCAGCGTCTTTTATTTCGGTACTTTAGGCTCTTTTGACATGATATATGAAAAATTTGAAAGGGTTTCATGGGTTTCATGAAGTAACAAGTGACAGCGCAGTGTTTGTCAAGTGGTGGCATAAATAACTGCGTTCGTACACATTACCGAATTGTCTCTTCAGTCAAGCGTATTAATGGGAACAATTATTCAATTTCCAATCTCGGATAACGCATTTCTAGAATTCTGATCGGTTCACTCTATCTCGGTTATCAGCTCATGTACCTTAGTCTGACCTTATATGGAAAACAACGATGAAATTTTCCTCGGACAAAGCGGCAAAGTAGATTTCGCGAGCTTTCTACCGACGAAACAACAGAAAAAAAACACAAAACAAAAACAGAAAATGCCATACCGGCAGCGACAAATAAAGCCAAACTTTGCTTTGAAATTATTTCATGAAATTATTTCATTTCATATTTCATGACGGCCCCACTGAAAACCACCTTTCAGTCATGATCAGTGGTTTTGAGAATTAAATTTGTGTTGTTATAAGCCCAAGTCGACTGTTTTGGTTCCCTCCGGTTATTCTTTTGTTGCCCTTGAAGCGAAAGCCTAGATATATAACAAAACACTTAATGTCAGGTCCCTTGGGAAACCAGTTAGTTTTGTTTTCCCTCGAGTCCTGATGTTTCCCTCGACTTCGTCTGGGGAAACATCAGGACTCTCGGGAAAACAAAACTAACTGTTTCCCTCGGGATCTGACATTAAGTGTATATTATCCATGCACTGAGGTTAACCCGTTGATAGACAATAGCATCCTACTAGGGAGGGGGTAGCAATGCCCCTGGGAGCTTCGCGCTTATGAGCCCCATCACCATAATAAAATTTACGGTTGTGAGTTCAATGCTAATTAATTTCGGCGGAGTACAATGTCGGATAACTGCAAAGTGGACACAACTTAGCCTCTGTGGAGGGTGCACAAGTATGTTGACTTCGCCTATCTTTTGTTAAACACATTACAAGGCCAGTCATGAATTAAGCTTCAGTATCGGTCACGTAAACTTAGGGACTTGTCCGAAATTAGCAGGGGGGAGGAGGGGGGGTGGAAACAGAGGGAGGGGTCACAACTTTTTGAGACTGCAGAGAAGGAAGGGGTCATGAAAAATGGGCCGTTAAAAGGGGGAGGGTTACGCAAACATGTATCCGTGATCATGTAGAGGTTCACCTACAGAAGCAAAAAAGAAGTTTTTTATTTTGTATAAAAAACCTGGGAGAAATAGGAGAGTCGAGTGATCAGCTGTCAGAATCAGAGTCGGACTCTTAATGCTGTCATCTAAATGTATGTATATGGCATAACAAAGAACAGATTAGAAATATATTTTGAGCTTTCATAATACTGACTCACTCTAGTGTATTGCAAGAACTAAATTTTATCGTTTATACAAGAGGGGGAGGGTCATGATATTTTTGGCCAAGGTCAAGGGGAGGGTTAGCAAATTTCACTCCCATTGCAGGGATGGGTCACCTCATTTCCGAACCCAAATTTAAAATTCCCCCCTCCCCCCCTCCCTCCCTGCTAATTTCTGACAAGTACCTTATTACGAGAAAGTGTTTTGCCGTCATGAAAAAAAGACGTAAAGTATTGAGAGAAACAAACAAGCAATCAAACAAGGAAAAAGGAAACAAACAAACAAACACAACGAAACAACTAAAAAAAGACAGTCTTGTTTCCAGCCAGACTAACTGAACTGGCGACCTTCCGCGCGTTGGGCGGACGTGATAAATTTACCACAACACTACGGAAACCGCTGTGATAACACAGAACCAATTACTTCTACTTAGCTGGTAACGTTCGATCTTAGTTGAACCGACGGTGAGTTTTTCCTTGTATGCCCAGGGCTCAAAGAAAAGTTTGTAACGAAGTTCAGGAAAGCAAGTACAGCACTAGGCCGCCACAGCCGTTCACTAAAAATGGCGGTGTAGCAGACAAGTATAGTACCACAGCGTGAAAATATTTTGATCCATTCACAAACAAGAGCATAACGATTGCTGTGCATGAACTGTTCGGCTTCCGGGTTCTCCAAACCGGAGCTTAGAAACAACAACAACAACAACAAAGGTTGAAAACCTTTTCTTCTAAAGTGTCCGCATCTAACTGCAAATTAAAGCTTGGTCTTTAAGGCAAAGTTTGAAAGCTCTTGATTATGTGGAGAGTGACATGAGTATTAGGTAGGTAAAAACAAAGAAACAGGGAAAATCAAGTGTATTGCACAACGCTGACAAAAATAGACACTGAGGCTATTATAATTATTCACTGAATAGTTGGTAGCCTTAGCCACAAGCCATTGGCAACTTTCTGGCAACTCTTTCGATTTGAAGCAACTCTCTGGCAACGTTTGCCATTTGGTGTTATTGGAGAAATTTTTTATTTTGGGGGCACTTGATTAAATTTTAAGCAAGTTATAGGAATTACAAAGTCATTTAATCTTGTGTAAGCCTTGTTCCTTTTAAGAAAATGTCAGTTTCATAATGTTATAGGTAACATTTTATAACGAGCAAATTAAACCTTCTGCCCCATGACCCCATTCCTCCCCTGCTTCCTCCTCCGTTGGAATACCCGCGGTTTCAGGTCAGCGTAAGGGAGTAATACTACGTTTTTTTTTTTTTGTTTGTTTTTTTTTGTTTTTTGTTGTTGTTTTTTAACGGCACCAACACCGAAACTGAATAGAGACTGCTCAAATAAGGTTGAAAGCAATTTTTCTATGATATCAAGAGAAAGACTATGAGAAAAACATTGTCATAAGGGAGACTTAAATTGTTCGGTTTGCCTCTGTCAATATTTGTCTTTGTGAAATGATTAGTACTGTGATATTCAGGAAAAAGAAAGACATGGCTCAGCTATACATTTGAACGTCACCCGCATTATTTGCGTTTCAGAAAAAAAATAATAAAAAAAGAGAGAATAGCTTTAAATTGCATCATTATACTTTACCAGCGGCACTTGTTATGTAAGGTGTTTGTTTTTAGAAAAGATAAACCACGGGGACTCTCTATGCAATCATGTTAATTAATTAAATATTCTAAACATGCTTCTGAAAACTAAGTTATAACCTTTTTACAAAAAAAGCATGTATAAAAGCAG